GTACGGGAGCCTGGGAGGGGGCTCAGTCCCACACTGGGTACCCCTAGTGTACGCCAGCCTGGGAGGGGGCTCAGTCCCACCCTGGGTACCCCTAGTGTATGCCAGCCTGGGAGGGGGCTCGGTCCCTCACTGGGTACCCCTAGTGTATGCCAGCCTGGGAGGGGGCTCAGTCCCACACTGGGTACCGCTAGTGTATGCCAGCCTGGGAGGGGGCTCAGTCCCACACTGGGTACCCCTAGTGTACGCGAACCTGGGAGGGGCTGGGTCCCACACCCCTAATTTCCGCGCCGAGCCTGTGCTCCTACACATTCGGGACTCATGCACAGACAGGCCTGTGCTCGCACAGGCCCAGACGCCCCCACAGCCACACTCCACCTCAGGTGTTCCGTTATCCCTCACCGAACCCCGCCCACGCCATCATTTACACCGTTTTACTTTTAGCACACACCCCCCCCACGCCCTTCCAACACAGCTTTCTTCCTTTCCATCCCTCCTTTTCCCTTGAGAAGACTTTCCGCCCCTACCCTGGTGGGATACCTCAGACTTAATTGTTCTGGAACCCGGATGCAGGGGTGTGTTCTGTTTTCTCTCCACCCTTCACAGACAGGCGTACACACACTGCCAACAACATTCCCCCCCCCCCCACCAACTTTGCCTTGAAGGCTGTTTATTTAGGGGACAGTCCTGAGGTCTCTAGGAAAACTGGAACACAGCTGGAGACCGGAGAAGGGGGAGCCAGGAAAGGCCTCACATCCTGCACATCCCTTTGTCCTAGCCGGCATCCCAGGCATCTCGCTGCCCCAACCCAAGATGATAACCGTTAGGGCTAGAAGCCTTGCTGTCATCCACATCCTCCGATGGCTGGGGTGTGAGGGGCGGGGGCGGCGGGGTAGGCCATCGCGTGCCTCTGGGGCCGGCAAGGATTCATTATTCCTTCTTTCCTGTTGGCAGCAAGGAGGGAAGGATTCATTCTCTGTCCCTACAGAGGCTGGGGAGGGTCCTGAGGAGAGATCATTCCATCCAGGCGGCCTGCCTCACCTACCTTCCCAAGGAACCTGTCCCCCGAGAAGAATTGTAACTAATTAACAATTACCAGTACTAAACCCTGCAGGGGAAAGGTGCAGTCATTCTCTCGAGAGAAAGACTGGGCCCTGAGGAGGTGGCCGACTCCACTGAGGAGGTGGGCTCTCCCAAGCTACCCTGGTGGGGTGCATCCAGCCTTGCAGAGATGACGCATCTCCCCACTAGCACCAAGTAAACAGGGCAGGAAGTCGGGCTTGGGTGGTATTTTTCTGGGCACTATCCCATGGCTTGAGAGCAGCCTCATGTCTGTCCACAACCCCAGATTCCTGCCCTCTGTTTATCCGGTCTCTGTCTCCCCTGCCTTTGCCTCCCGTCTTCCTTGGTCGCGCGCGCCTCACACCCACTTTCCCTTCCCGGCCAAGTAGCTGGCACATCTGTCAGAGAGATCCACTAAGCACGGCCAGGCTGGGGGCCAGGGGCCTGCCCTTGTGTACAAAGGGGGCTGGAAGTGAAAGGAAAGGAGAGACATGGTGAGGGTCCTGGCCGGACTGAGGAGGGCTGGTTCCTCTCCTCACGCCCACGGGGACCTGGCCATCTATGCAGATGGCCATGGCCAGGCCTGTTGTTGTTGGAGAACAGCCCATCTGGCAAGCTCCTTTGCCTGGGTTCCATCCAGCACCCACACCCCAGGCAGCCTGAGCCAGTCACTGGTGCCAGGGCCCTCTGCTGGACAGCCCCAGGAAGCCAGCTCCCACAGGCCTGGGTCTGGACAGGTTCTGAGGCACCATCGTCCTCGCCTCAGGGTTCTCTCCCCTCTGCCCCTAAGGCTGGCTTAGGAGGGCTTGCCCACCCGGCCTGATGGGCACTTTTGTGTCCTGTCCACCACCCCAGCTGGGACTGTGGCTGGCTGGGTGCTTCTCCCCCTCCCCCTTTAGAAGGTAGCTTGGCTCCATACCACACCCCCAGCCCTCTCTCCCCAGGCCTGCGCTCTCTCAGCTGTTAGCAACAGCTATCTGTGTTTGCTGCAGGGGTGTCTGCATCGGCCTGGGGGGTTGTCACAAGCCACACCTCAAGTTCTCTGTTTGTGGTTAAATTCCGTGGCAGAAAAGGAACTAGGGAAGGCCCGGAGAAACACTTGCCCAGCATGCTCAACGTAAGGGCAGACCGAAAAGATTCAACAATGGGGAGGAATTTTAAGGCAATGTGGTTTTGTTGTTTTGTTTTGTGATGCTGGGGAGAGGGGTCAAGTTCAGGACCTGAAACACGCTAGTGACATGCTCTGCCACTGAGCTAGCTCCTCAGTCCTAATGCCACTGTTAAAAAAAAAAAAAAAAAAAAAAGGTAGTGGGAAAAGTCCTCAACGAATACAACATCAAACTGCGTGTGTGGAGGCCAGAGAACCCCTGGATGCGGTTCCCCAGGGACCAGCCACACTGGTTTTTTTTCAAGAGTTTGCATTTGTATGTGTACACCACCTGGGTGCCAGTGCGTTCGGAGGCCTGAGGGCTTCGGATCTCTGGGAACTGGAGGTACCGTGTGAGCTAGATGATATGGGTGCTGAGAACTAAAGCCAGGCCCTCTGCAGGGACAGTAATCACTCCTTAACTGCTGAGCTATTTCTCCAGCTTCCGTGTGTTTTGTTTTTTAGACAGGGTCTCACTAAGTAGCTCTGGCAGGCCTGGAACTCGCAGTGTTGTGTGCCACCAGCCGGGCCCACCCTGTTTTTTGATACAGGATTTCCAACCATCGGTCCCCTGCCTTCCCTCCCCAGTGTTAGGGTTCCAAGTGGCATCACAGCTTTGAAAGAACATTTTTTTCTTTTAACTTAGGTTCTGAGAATTGAACTAACCGAGCAAGTCTCCCCATGCCCCAAATCAATTTCTCAAATAAAGACAGAGGTGTATACAGAATGGATACTAGGTCAGGGTTCAAGAAGTGACTGTTCCTGTGCTCTGAGCCTGGGCTTCTAGCCAAATTCTCAGATGTATCTCCTAACCCTCTGGCTTGGCAGGTAGGCAGGGGACAATTTTAAGTGGTCCGGAGCTCAATCATCTAATTGTGGGCCTACAAATTCCCAGGGGGGAAAAATCCTTCCTCAAGAGGCGGCAGATATGGATTCTGCTGAGCCACCTCCTCCTCAAGGGCCTGCTGGACGCGACACAGACGAACCGCGGTGCAGTCCGGGTCAGCTCCCCTCCTCCCGCGCCCAGCCACTACGCACCTGCTGAGACTAGGGCACCCGCATCCGGACGGGGCGGGGGCGGGGCAGAACCAAATCGCCAGGCCCTGGGGACCCCAGCCTCCTCCCGACCTCCTCACCTCGGGGTGGGGGCAGCTGCCAAGGCCGGAACTGGCCGGTCTCTGGCTGGAGAGGAGCCGCCACCGACTTGAGCGGGACGGCCTCCGCTCCGCCTGCCCCGCCCCGTGCTAATCGAGGTGTGGAGATCCGACGACACCAGGTGGCCGGGAGGAGGTCCAGTGGGAGGGGCCGCGGGGCCGAGAAGGGACGAGTTAGGGAAGGTGGGACTGCCTTTAATCCGCTTGTCCCCGCAGCTCGCACGTGCTCTAGTTTCTGAGGACTCTGTAGGAAGCAGCTGGGACCCAGGAGGGAAAAGCTCGGCGGCAGGGCCTGGGAGGTAGGGTGGGAGCGGGGAGTTGCTGATCAGCTCAGATATCACTCCTTTCCCAGCCTTAAGCTTCTATAGGAACCTGTAGGGGGATCCCCAACTTGATTGGGGATCGAGACAGAGGCCTGTATTCCGCACTACACCCCTTTTAACTTACAGCCCCAAGACATTCCTAGAAGGACTATTGTGTGGGAATCATAATCGAATTATCCAGGGGATCTTACTACACAATGCTCACCCACGCATGCATACACACATATACACACACACACAGGATCTCAAGGCCTCTACGGGGAGTGAGAAATAAAGTAAGTTTTTAAAAATTATTTTATGTGTTCGGGTGTTTTGCCTGAGTGTGTGTCTGTGCACCAGGTCCGTGTCTGTTGTCCTTGGAGGCCAGCAGAGAGTGTGGAACTAGGGTTATAGAGTTGTGAGGGGCCACCTGGGTGCTGGGAATTGAACTCAGGTCCTCTGGAAGAGCAGCCAGTGCTCTCAACTGCTGAGTCCTCTCTCCAGCCCTATGACGTGAGATTTTTAGGTGACTTCCTATTTCTTGGAGGGCAGTATGACCTCGGTCAAAGGCATGCACATCCCTACTTCCCTGCCCACCGCCCACCGGCCAGTCTCCCTTTTCCCACTACCTCCAGCTGAGCTGTCTCCAAAGCTTGCCCCTATCAACTTTCCTTTCCCCGCCAGCCAGCGAGCCTTGCTGTACTGCAGATCTAAGCCACTCCTGGGCCTCAGTGGGAGGATCTGAACCAAGTTACACAGCTTGTAGCTTGTGAAGACTGAGAGACAGATAGAACAAGTTATCCCGAGGAAGTCTTGCCAGTGGCTTCCCTCCCACTCCCTCCCAGCTTCTCACAGATAAACCGTGTCGATAGGCACGCGCAGGGGTGGGGAGACTTTCAGAAGCACCCCAGTCATCCAGCACCGGGCTGGGGATGGAGCTCAAACGGTAGAGTGCTTGCCTAGCATGCAAAGTTCTGGGTTCGATCCCCAGTGCCACACAAGCTGGACTTGGATGTGGGTGTGTACCTGTAATGAGGTCAAGGCAGGAGGATCAGAGTTTAAGATCATCCTCAGTGGTCTGAGGCCTGCCTGGTAGACATAAAATCCAATCTCACAAACAGCAGCAACATAATCCACCATTGTTTATTGACTCCGTGCTGCACGCTGAGCTTTGAGAATACATGTCTCAAAAGGGAGCCAAGGTCCTATTATTTTAAGGTAAATTTTAAGTCTGGAAGACTGGACAGTTTGGATTTAAATACCACCTCTTAGCTCAGTTGTCTTGTCTCAGTTTGACATTGTCTCTTAACTGACCTCGAAGCCCTCATTTACAGGTCTACCCTGGAGGCCAGAGGTCATTGGTGGGAGCTGCAGAGAGGAGGGAAGAACACCGTATCTGTGGTCTGCTCGATCCTAGCATTCTGCGGTCAGTGCAGATGCCTGGACTAGCCCACTCCACAAGAAAGTACTTTGATGGACATTGCTGCTTCCACGACCCACGGCCTCACTTCTGGGGGCCCAATCTCTCCTTCCTCTGGGAGTGGTCCACTCTGGAGGTCTCTCTAGCATCCGGTGGCTGTTGCTGGCTGAGGACAAACAGCAGACAGCCCAGCAAAGCCTCTCTCATGTCTTGGGAGCTCAGTCGACGGGCCAGTCGGCGCAGCAGGGGCAGGAGGTGCTGGCGGGCCAGGCGGGCAATGGGCAGCAGCAGGCGGGACAGCAGCGATCGGAGCAGCATCGGGAGAAGCGGAGCGGGCATGGCAGAGCCTGGACCTGCGGAGGGAACCCAGGCTCCAGACTCCACCCACCTCACCTAGCAAAGCCCACGGGTGGACGGGAGTCCTCCCTTCCGCTTACACCTCTGGTTCCCTAGCCCCCGACTCGTGGGTTAGGTTTGCTATGGTGCAGCCTTTCCCCTACAAGACAGCTGGCTCAGGGGGTTCACTCACTGTTAGTCCAGATGGGAACTGAGCCCAGGAGTGGGGGGAGCTGAGGCTACAGACTGCTGTTCTGGCCTCCCCACTTCCTTTAATCACTCTCCCCCTCCGCATACTCTGACCCGAGGCCTGCACTCCTTTGCCCTCCCATCTACCACCTCTAACCAGTCAGTGGCGGCTCTCACCAGTCAGAACTGCTGCTCGGAGTGGATTTCAGGACGCATTTGCCTGCTGTGGCTGTGGATATGGCATCACTGGAGAGCACGAGGTAGCCCCACCCCCTCAGCCTCCACCCAGCTCAGCTCACTTGGGTGTGGAGGGGTACAGTGCGGCAACAGCTGTGTGCTGGCACCTGGTATATTGAGTCCAGCTGCTCCCTCTTCCAGTCTGAGGAGGAGAAGAAAGGAACACACGCAGGCATTTCCCCTTGGGAGGACAGACCTCAGAGTTCAACTGTGTGACTTGAGGCATGCGGACTCTTCTGGGCTCCAGTCACTTCGTTGTGTTGCCTCTGGAAGTGGAAGAAGAACTGGAGGAATCAGAGAAGAGGACGGCATGTGGTTGATAGCTGAGATGCAGTAAAGCTGTGTGTGGACACATTTCCTAACCCCCGTCTATGCTACTACAGTGGCTAAGCCAGCCAGAGCCTGCAGGGTCTCTGATAGGCCATCTGTGGGGGCAGAGGATGGGACACACAGCTTCTGTCACAGCTGAGCACAGTTCCATACAGCTGGGTGGCATGCCCACTGAAGGACAGAAGGAGGGGCATGCAGTTCAAGACTGTCTCCAGTCATTCCACTGCTTTAGCCTAAACGAGATTCCATATATATATATGTGTGTGTATATATACATATATATAATATATATCCATACATCCATACATATATATATACACACACACATACATACATACACACATATATAGTTCCAATTATATCTGGATATCTGGTTGGGTGTATGGCCCAAATTTTATTTGGTTTTGTATTTTTTGTTTTTAAGAATTTCATTCTCTGGCCTGGAGAGATGGCTCAGGGTTAAGAGCACTGGCTGCTCTTCCAGAGGTCCTGTGTCCAATTCCCAGCACCCACATGGTGGCTCACAACCATCTGTAATGAGATCTGGTGCCCTCTTCTGACCTGCAAGCATATAGGTAGGCAGAACACTGTATACATAATATATAAATAAATCTTTAAAAAAAAAAAAGAATTTCAATCTCAGGGCTGGAGAAATGGCTCAGCAGAAGAGTACTTGACTGAGCCAGGTGGTGGTGTCACACGCCTTTAATCCCAGTGCTCAGGGAAGGCAGAGGCAGGAAGATCTCTGTGAGTTCAAGGCCAGCCTGGTCTACAAAGTGAGTTCCAGGACAGCCAGGGCTGTTACACAGAGAGATCTTGTCTCTAAAAAACAAACAAACAAACAAACAAACAAACAAAAGCACTTGACTGCACCAGAGGTCCCTAGTTCAATTCCCAGCATCCACATGGTGACTCACCACCATCTCCAATGAGATCAGATTCCTTCTTCTGGTGTGCATGAAGACAGAGCACTCATACATAAAACACACAAATAAACAAGTCTTAACAAGAGTTTCATTCTTCAGAAAGCCGCTGTAACTCAAGGCTGGATTCAGTGGAGACAGTGGCTGTCATGGTTGGCTTAATGTCAACGTGCCACAAATTAAAATCACCAAAGTAGGGGGCCTCTCCTGAAAAACGTGCTGACTGCCTCACTTGAAGCAGGGAGAACCACCCTGTGGTGGGCAGCAGCTTCTGGAAGCAGTCCAGATCAAAAGAGCATGGCAGAAGGAAAATGATCCAACTTCTGCTGGATTGGCGTCCCTCTTGCCCCTAATTAATTTAAAATTCTTTAATTTGGGGGCTGGAGAGATGGCTCAGGGGTTAAGAACATTGGCTGCTCTTCAGAGGATCCAGGTTCAATTCCCAGGCCCCGCGTGGCAGCTCACAAGTGTCTATAACTCCAGTTCCAGGGGATCCGACACCCTCACACAGATAAGCATGCAGGCAAAACACCTGTCAATGATCATTAAAAAATAAAAATAAATTTTTTAAAAATCTCTAATTTTGATATAGCCATCCCATTGGTTCTGTTCTTCTAGAGAACCCAGAATAATACAGTAGCCATGAAGGTTTTCAAGCTTCAAAGATGTGGGAATATGATCACTTATCATCTGCCATTATTAGCTGTCCTCATCAGCATCAAAAACCCTGGAGGAGGAAAATGTTAAAGATTAAGAAGAGACTAGCGGTGGTGGCCCACACCTTGAGTCCCAGCACTCCAGAGGCAGAGGCAGGTGATCTCCAGGTTCGAGGCCAGCCTGGTCTACACAGTGAGTTCCAGGACAGCCAGAGCTACACAGAGAAACCCTGTCTCAGAAAAACCAGGGGGAAAATGGAGGGGTTAAGAAGGGACACATGGAAAGTGGTAGGAATGTAGAATGACAGGCATCCAGCTCCTCTCCTGCTTACTGTGACCAGGTTCAGTAGTCACAAGTTTGTCCCACCCTCCTACTTCCTCACACCTTTCCCAGCCCTCACCTCCCTCCCATATACCCCACCCCATCAGCCTGCCGCTGCGTGGTTACCCAGCAAAAGCAGGTGAGTCTTGAGTTCATGATCAATTTCTCACCTCCACCTGTTGCAGGGAAGCAACAGTCACAGCTACTTCAAAAGTGAGGGCCCTGAGGTCAAGGATCAGAGTACCTTGCTCCGTCACACTGGATGAATGAACAGGCCTGCCCTTTCCTTAGATTTTCCTATCTTCTGTAACTGGAATTTGCATTTTTCCCATGATTTGGGGTGTTTTCCTAGATTCCTGATGCTGTTTCCACTCAGTAGTAAATCTACATGGCTTTACTTTCTTTTTCTTTTTCTTTTTTTTTTTTTTTTTTTTTTTTTTTTTTTTTGGTTTTTCGGTACAGGGTTTCTCTGTGTAGCTTTGTGCCTTTCCTGGAACTCACTTGGTAGTCCAGGCTGGCCTCGAACTCACAGAGATCCGCCTGGCTCTGCCTCCCGAGTGCTGGGATTAAAGGCGTGCGCCACCACCGCGGCTGGCTTTACTTTCAAATGGAATTGGGGAGGATGGCGGGGCAGTTCAGCAGTTAAAAGGACCTGAGTTCGGCTCTCAAAAGCAGCATAACTCCAGCTTCAAGAGATCCAACATCCAGCCGGGCGGTGGTGGCGCACGCCTTTAATCCCAGCACTCGGGAGGCAGAGCCAGGCGGATCTCTGTGAGTTTGAGGCCAGTCTGGACTACCAAGTGAGTTCCAGGAAAGGCGCAAAGCTACACAGAGAAACCCTGTCTCGAAAAACCAAAAAGAGATCCAACATCTTCTGGCCTCCACTGGCATTGCACTCACACACACACACACACACACACACACACACACACACACACACACGCACACGCATGCACAAACACAGAATTTGTGTAAAAAAATAAAAATGAAAATCTCTACATGGCCCTAGCTGTTCTGGAACTCACTGTGTAGACCAGACTGATTCTTAGAGACCTGCCTCTGTCTCCCAAGTGTTGGGATTAAAAACACATGCCACCACAGATTCAGCTTTAAAAAAAAACTGATGGAGAGTGGTGGTGTACACCTTTAATCCCAGCACTCATGAGGCAGAGGCAGGCTGATCGCTAAGTTCAAAGCCAGTCTGGTCTACAGAGTAGGCTCCAGGACAGCCAGTGAATGCTACACAGTGCTACACAGAGAAACCCTGTCTTGGGGGGGAAAAATCAAATCAGATCTTTAAAAAAAATGGAACCTGTGAGCAAGGCATGGTGGCTTCTATTTATAATCCCAGCCTTTGGGAGGTGGAGACAGGAGGATGAACCGTTCAAGGCTATCATCGGTTCCATAGAGTTTGAGGTCAATCTGGACTTTATGAAACCTTGTCTCAAAAAAAAAAAAAAAAAAAAAAAAATCTGGAGCTGAGGATGTAGCTCAATGGTAGACAGTTTGAGGTGGGATAAAAAGACAGCGAAATTATGGGAACACGAGGATAGAAAGGAATCTCTTAATGTAGAATCCAGTTAAAGCCTCTGGTCTGCAGAAAAGCAGGCATCCCAGCATAATTAACACTTCCTGTGAAGGCTGCCAACACAGGGACAATATTTCACCTATATAGACATATTTTCAAACGAAAAAATGTTAAAGTAAGCTGGGCAGTGGTGGCGCATGCCTTTAATCCCAGCACTCAGGAGGCAGAGCCAGGCGGATCTCTGTGAGTTCGAGGCCAGCCTGGTCTACAGAGCAAGATCCAGGAAAAGGCGCAAAGCTACACAGAGAAACCCTGTCTCAAAAAACCAAAAAAAAAAAAAAATGTTAAAGTAGCAATAAAACAAACAATGCCCCAGTTCATATGGTTAGGGCCTCACTCTTCTCCCAGATAATTTGTGGGGGTCTCACAAACAAAACTATTCACATCTGTTCACAGCAAAGCTATCCTAACTTCCTACATCCCGTGTGCAATGGGATTTTTTTTTTTTTTTTTTTTTTTTTTTTTTTTTTTTTTTTTTTAAAGATTTATTTATTATGTATACAATGAGTGTTCAGCCTATAGGCCAGAAGAGGGCACCAGATCTCATTACAGATGGTTGTGAGCCACCATGTGGTTGCTGGGAATTGAACTCAGGACCTCTAGAAGAACAGCCAGTGCTCTTAACCTCTGAGCCATCTCTCCAGCCCCCGCAATGGGATTTTTATGTTGTTTTCCAGACAGGATCTTACATAGTCCAGATTGATCTTTGTCTTCGTTAGGGTTTCTATTGCTGTGAAGAGACACCATGACCACAGCAACTCTTATAAAGAAAACATTTAATTGGGGTGTTTTACGGTTTCAGAGGTTTAATCCATTATCGTCATGGTGAGAAGCATGGCAGTGTGCAGGCAGACGTGGTGCTGGAGAAGGAGCTGAGAGTTCTACATCTTGATCCACAGGCAACAGGAAGTAAACTTTCACATTGGACGTGGCCTGAGCATATTGAGACCTCAAAGCCCGCCTCCACAGTGACACACTTCCTCCAACAAAGCCACACCCACTCTAACAAGGCCACACCTCCTAATTGTGCTGCTCTCTATGGGCCAAGCATTCGAACATATGAGTCTATAGGGACATTCCTATTCAAACCCTGGTTTATGTGGAGGTTGGGATCAACCCAGGGATTCACTCTATCAAGTGAGCTATATCCCCAATCCTGATCCAGGGTTTTATCTTATCTGATCTTTCCTGCATATTTCAGGAACTGTCCTGTGATTTCATTTAAATTCTCTGTAAGGACTTAAATATAATAGCTTTAAAACCCACCAAAAGTGTGTGTGAGTGTGTGTGTGTGACCTCCTTTGGGAAAATCATACCCACACTTCCTTCTGTCTCACTTTTTCCCTGTTCTTCAATCTGCTGAAAATGCCCTTTGATAAACTCCAGCTCTGCTTCACAATGATTTGTCCTGAAACTCTCTTCTGTGTCAAAGGCTTTCCCTGAGTGGAAGTCTCTGGACTCTGGGGCCTAGAGGGTTAAGGGAACTCTTCAAGTGTCTACAGACAAGGAAGAGCGAGCGTCTCCACCCTGCTATTGCTGATGACTTTATCTAGCCTGTGCCAGTCCCTGATGCTACTGGAACCACCCTCACACGGGCTTCTGTCCGTTCTCTCTAGGATTACCACAGCATCCATGAGACTGATGTTCCTGTTTATCTTTTGTGACCCAAACAGCCTTTGTAAAATATGAATTGAATCTGCCTGCTTCTCTTCCAGCTGCCCATGGTTCCCACCTCATCTTTAGGGCAAGTTAAGGCCTTAACAATGAAGGCC